GAGCCAAATAATAAGATACATAAACATTTATTAAAACGCTCATATAAATCCGATGACACCATTTTCTTTTAAAAACGGCCACGATTCCAAACATCATAATTGGATTGGAGTTGATGTTGGATTTCAATGAATGAATGGGATGCATTGAGAATTAATGAGATGGGTGGGACCGGGAGGGGCGACGATGGGTCTCACATGCAAACCAACATTTTCAACATGCTCATCATCACGAGGTCAGGTCGAGGATGATGCGAAAAGGCCTAACCGATTAATCTCCCCATGAGTACTCCATGGTAACTTCACGTTTAATTTAATTAACGGGTTGCTTACAGCTATCTAAATATCAAGGCCTTTCATTTTATTCTATTCCTGATTTCCTCTTCCTCAATCCTCACCCCCCGCTCTCGAAAAAGAGCCAATAAATTAAATAAAGTAAAGAAAAACAAGAAAAGAACAAAGCAACTGCTGGACTCATTACACGTGTTGATGCACTCCCAATCAAAATTGGTTTCTGAATCAGAAATCTCGACACACCATCCGAACTTGGTAAAGCTTTCATCAAACATGATTGGGATATTTATAGTTGCAAAATGCACCACGACAACCGAGTGACACGTGTACGTTCCCTAGATGCTATCAAAATGTATTTTGATTGATTGTGATTTGTGTCATCACCTCTCCTTCAACATCATCGATCCCATGCATTATATCACTCACTTACAATTCTCTATAAATCCTATCTCACTAAACACGGGCCTTTCCTGCCACATGACTCTACTCAGTACTCACACTCTACCCACAATACATTTATTGGATTATGGATGTAGAATGTGAATAGGGCTACTGTGGGCAAGAAATCCAGACTGATTTTGGTAAGCATAACATGCATTTCTTCCACTTACTCAATTTTCTAGTGCTTCATCTATGGACTCAGAAGATAAGCTTCTCCAAACCACAGCTGAATTATCAACTTTTATATTGCTCCACAAAAGGATGAGATGCTTAATTAAAACTTAAAAGAGAAAGAAAAGTAAAGATTAGGGTTTCATCAAAGAGAATATTACCAGCTAGGGATTAGGGTTATACAAGGTCATTAGGGGTGTCCATGAAAAGTAAAGATTAGGGTTTTTAAATATATATTTTCTATGTATTTTATAAAAATATATATTCATTATATATAAATATATATTTATATTATATTTATAATGATCTATTTATAAATATATTATATATTTTTAAAATATTTATAATAAAATATTATACATATATTTATATAATATATATTATAAATATAAAAAATCAAAAAATCGAAGAACCAAAAAACCGTATCGATCAAAAACCGAAACCGATGGTACCAATTCGGTTTCAATTTAGCAAAATAAAAAAACCGATACTACCAATTCGATTTACAAAAAGTAGCCATGGTTCGGTTAAACGAACCATGGACACCCCTAAATGTCATGTGCCGATGACATATCGTTGTTTTTTGTGGAAAGGGGAGTATTTAGAACCTGTGGGGTCATGCATGTTTCCGGGTTCAGCTCTGCTTAATTAATGTTTGCTACTGTTTGTGATCTGTCTTAACCCAACTGGCCAACATTAGGCTGGAATTTGTGCACTCTATATATTTACCCTCTGGTTTATGTATTGCCATGTGCTTATCATGTGGGTTCGCGGTGCTAAGGGTGCATTAACATTTAAAAGGTTATCTAATCTAGTGGAGCCAGAGCCACTTAGGGTAACTATGCTTAATTAATATATTTTTAGTGGCTAGAAACCTTGGACTTTGATTCCATTGGATAATATAATGGCTGAAGTAGCTGAATTGGACTTATTACAACTTTTTATTCTAATGGACAAATTAATTAAATAATAAAATATGCAAGTATATGTTAATCTACTCAATTCAGTTTCAGCCATTAAAAAGCTCACCACCTCTGACAAATTCATTCCTAAAAGATAAAAGCAACAGGCTTTTCACTTCAACCTCAACCACTCTAGTTGTTATCAAAAGGCCCCTAATCAGGCTTTTGCTTTAATGGTTACGGTAAACTACAGAATCTTTACTGTGGAGTAGGGTTAACGCCAGTGGAAGCCAAAATTCTAACAGACAAATGAAAATAAAACAAGACTATAAAATCCCGAATTGGGATTATTTTTTTGTTATTTTATTTATTTTCTATTTATTGAGGACGAAACCCATCCTCATCACAGACAGAAATAATGTAAAACAAGATTATAAATCAGGAATCATGATTATAATTTTCTTGTTATTTTGTTTATTTTTTTTATTGAGAGCAAAGCCCGTCTTCATAGGCCGCAGAAATGTAAGACTAGCTATAAGAATATAAATCACGAATATCTTGATTGTATTTTTTTATTTTATTATTGAAAACGAAACCCATCTTCATTCCCAATTTAACAAGAATTTTCTTTCTGTTATTTTTTTACCTTCTTAGGTTACTGCAGTCTGCTTAATCAAAATTAGTTGCAGAAATATACACGTATTTACGCTCGTGATTGGGCGAGGGCGACTGGGCGAGAGGCCTTTCCATTGGTTCAATTCATTGATATAGGATCCTAGTTCTAGCCTTGTAGGTACGGATGTGTAGGGTACGTGGGTCGTTGTGATTGGTAGAGTGCACTTTTCAGTTATTTTGGACGAATAGAAGGGTGTGCTTTGATGTATTTGAGATCCATCATCGTCAATGGATGCGCCCGAAGATTCTAAAGTCCTTTTCACGGGTGCAGTTCTTCCACGTAAGCATGACCCTAGCTAGCGGTGGACCCCGCAGCTAAAAACACGCGCCATGCTATTATGCATGTATGACAACTAACGAGTCACGACAAGAATGCCAAAGTCGATAACGCTTGGACGTCAACCTCTTGACGTCAATAAAACCTGAACTGCGTGTCGACTAACGTGTGAGTCGCAGTGGGGCCAACCTGCCTACGTGTCGACCGTTGCGAAAGGCCAAGGCGTACCTTCTCTACTTAGAAACTGGAAACTCCCGAAGCCGGCCGGCCCCACTTCTTCAGAATTTTCACCACGAGAACCTGTTAGACAATGGAATTCGATTGCGTAGGTTTTGTCTTTGTCGTTACAATTACCTAAATGCCCTCAATACCCATCTCTTATTACTTATTTACGGCTTTAAAATAGCCAAGCGGGCGGGATACGTACAGAAGACGTCCATCCGGCTCGTGAAGGGTACCCATAGCCAGAGGGATAATAATTTACAGATCGAGCTACATCTCCAACTGTTGAAACGTGAAAATGGCCGTTGGATTTAACTCTATCATCGTTCTGATTATACTAATCATGCGGGGCCCATCCAGGTGCGATACTCGACTCCAGATCTCCTATTCACGAGAACTTTGCCCATGCCTATCTACAATACACTATCTTTCGTGAATTGAAAACATCTTCTCCAGTATAATATTATACAGAAGATGAGATATTCTTCATGTATGACTCTGATAAACTTGGGCATGAGATCCGAACTCACAACACTCCGCTAATCGCTGAATTCTGTGTGATACGTGTCAACATGGTATCAACAAAAGGTCGACACTCTCCCTCTTGCAAGTTGCAATTGTTATATGCATACAAGATGATACTCAAAATTATTGGTAGTTTGTCTTTTATACACTTTAACTGGTTAACAACATTCAGAATAAAATCCAACAAATTTTATGATTTCCATTAAAAAAGAGAAAGTTTCTTAATCGTCTCAAGTCGGAAGTTTTGTCATACGGCCCTTCCATATGGAAGGATGATGTGGCAAATTCGAACAGACACCAAGGGGAGCCTTTGGAATGGCCACCTGTTCAATCCTTTTGTCCACGTCAGCTCTGAATGCAGCCTGGTTAACTGTTTCTTCTAAATAATAGCGGGCTGTCGAAAGTTTTAAGAGAAGGGTTTATTCTAATCACGTGGCAAGGGTTTTTGATCCCAAATTTGAATTGACTTAAGGGACCATTTATTATATTAGTTTTGTTTATATATAATTTATATGCTGTAAAGAGGGTGTCGAAAGGAGAAATACATTATCTTTATTGGGTACAAAATACCAGAATTATTATCTGGTTAGGAACTTCGGATGGCGTGGAATGGCAAATACGAAGAAAAATAGACCATTATGGGGCGGGCATATCTAATGATGCCGTAAAGACATCATAACTTTGACCAGCCCAATCCCCACCCCCTTTGAATTTTGATGAATACCATCTGATTGATCACCATTGTTATAATATTTGATTATAAGTTTTTCCCGTATATAATAATCGAACCCATTTTTTAAGCCAATGAAGCAGATTTGTTAGAATGAGAAAGAAAAAGAAGAAATCTACTCAAGTCATTTCTTCATGTGAAATCTACCTTGGGGATAAATGCTCAAATATATGTAACGAAATGGTTCATCAATCAATGGGTATATATAGATATAGTAGGTGGCCAAGCATATAAAACGTTTCTCGTCTCTCCCATGCACACTGGTTTGGATAGGGTCGAGTCGAGGAACCATCAGCAACACATCATTACACGTACTCTTAAAGTCTTAATAACTAATTGAGCCCACCCTCACTTCCCCAAAATATCTATCTATGCGAGAGGAAAAAGAAGAAAAGAAACACGCCCAGAACCGTAGCCAGGGGGTGGTAAACTGGCAGTGAAATTAATGTGGGGATGGAAAGAAATTGGAGTTGGGCCGGAGACATTATCGGCCCAAACCGAACCGAACCCATTAAATAATCCAAAGTAAGGTGATTAAAGTTAAACAAGACATGTGAGCCCAAACCTAAACCGTGGCTAAAAACATGGGACAAGTTTGGCAGGTCAAGAATTAATTGCCAACCCCATCGATGTAGCTGTATCGTTAGCTTTAGTTGTGGGTGCATTTATACCCACATTACACAACAAATCATGGAAGAAAATCAAGGACCCACATTTCTTTTAATTAAAAAAGAAGAAACAGGAGAAGATAAAAGAACAAGCAAAATAATAATGGAACTCATGTCGTTAGCACAGCAATCTGTGGGGCTGAATGCCATTAAAAATATAAGCTCGTATTGTCACCAGTTAGCTACCAAATTAATCCTCTTTCACAATGTGAATACAAGCTTTTTATGACAATTATAAAAATCTCCCCAAAAAATCAAAATAACAAAGTAAAAAAAAAAAAAAAGTTTAATTTTTGTATGATACAACATCTAATATCCTTCATTTTCCCTCACGTTATTTTTTCATTCAGAGAACTTATGCACACAACACTAATCGTAGACAACAGCGAAGCTGCTCTTTCTCCTCCTCCGTCTTCTTTAATAGTTCCATAAACAGTCAAGGTCCACAGGTCCAGCCGAGGTGGATGGATCCTCATGGTTTGAGACAACCGAAGAGATCTCGGTGTTCATTTCAGTCGACAATCCCGTTTCCTGAGAAATGCTTACCATCTCCCTCTCTGTTTTGAAATTCTGCTTCATCATGGTTGATCCATGGTTTTCAAGTAAAGCCCTTAAGAAGGTCTGGTCTTGCATCAAAACGGAACCTGGGTATTGCAGATTTCCGAGACTTGTAGCACCTTGCGTGGTGTAGAATGAGTTTGGGAGATTGAATTTTGAAAAAAGCAATGAAGCAGGGGATGGATCAAAAGGGTTTGTAGAAGAAGCGAACAGAGGAGAGTTGAAGCAATCAATCATCTCTTCCTGGTTTTTCCGGTCCTCCATTGGGTTGGAGAAGCAGGTCACGTGAGCTGTCTCAGCAACAGATGCTTTGGTCTTGCTGTTGTAGGGAGAAGAATCCATTAATGGAGGTAGAGTAGATGGAGCCAATTCATCGCTCAAGGAGCTCATTCTCACTAGTCCTGGAATGTGAATTTTCTTCCCACCTGAGCTCTTTTGAAATACCCTACAGATTACCCACTCGTTCTGTAAAAGAACGAAAGGAAGGAGAAAAGAAACCCATCAATTATTTCACAAAAACATTGTTGACAATGAAAAAGCAAGGGAGAAACAAAAAAAAAAAAAAAAAGAGAAATAGGGGAGAGGAGCTCTACCTTCGCTGTTTTGGGCAAGTTAGAAATAGAGAACTTTCCCTCTAACCTATACTCGTGCATGACCCAGTTGGTTTTTTCTCCTTTGGGAGCTCTTCCTCGGTAGAAAACCAGGGTTTTCTTCATTCCAACCAGTGTTTTCCCTCTGTAAATCTCCTTGTCTTTTCCTGTGGCCTTCCAGTAACCAGCAGCAGTGGCCCTGTTCGTCCTCAAACCAGTTGGGTATTTTCTGTCTCTAACACAGAAGAAATACCACTCCTTCTCTCCCATTTTTGCTCTCCCTTCATTGAATTAAAAGACAAATCTCAAAGTTAAAACGAAATTCGCTTTAAATCATAGGCAGGAAAGAAAAATACAGACGAGAGACAACCTATCTAGAAGACTTACGTGGCATATCCCAAGGTTCACAGTTATTCAAATCTACCTCTCCAATTGCTCTAGCATAGAAGCTGCTGTCAACGACCTTCTTGGACAGGTAGTGTGTTATAAGCTCTTCGTCAGTCGGGTGGAACCGGAAACCAGGAGGCAAATCAATCTGCTCTTCTTCCTTGCTAAACCCAGAAACATTCTCCATTCCTGCCTGAGATCTATCTTTCAGAAACCAGAAAGATATTTCTTCAGGATTCAAATTGGTTCTGACCGACAAGAACCAATTCTCAAAACACAACTTAACCAAACAACCCAACCCAAAGAATACTAATTTCCTGAAACCAGGCCTGCAGCATGCTGTAGAATCTCTAAATTTCAAATAAGTTCTAATCAAACAGCTGAAACTATTTTTCCTTCCCGAATTCAGGCTAATTCAACCCAACACAAAATCAAACTTGAGAGGGAGATTTCTAATGAACGGAATAAAGCTGAAGAGAAAACGATGGAAGTTGGAAGAAAATGGATGAGATGAAGAGAAGAGAAAATAAGAGAAGAGAAGAGAAGAGGATAGAACTGAAAAGTTCCTCACTCTAAGATTGAGAGGTGGTGTTAAGAAAAATGTGTTCTGAGGAGCAGAACCCCCTAAATACTGGTTTTGGACAGAAAGAAACGTGGTTTCTAAGGCAACCGGGTAGGTCGTTTCAGCTCCCTTTTAACTTATCTCAAATAGTTTCTCTTTTTTTCCTCTATAATTTGACCAGATGCAATCCATCTAAATATCCCGGTTGTAAATTTGAAAAAGAACTGTTACAATCTTACTGTGAGTAATTAAATTTAAATAACATTTATAGTCATTATAATTATAAGGTGGTGAAAAGATCAACTAAATTCTTAACTATTAAGTCGCTTTCTTAGTTTGAATCAATCCAACCACAGTTATCTACCATGCAATATAATAGAATTAAAAGGGAAAAGGAAATCAAGCTTAGCAAATTTTTGTTTCACTTTAGGTGGATAAATTTCTTCCTCTTCTTCTTCTTCTTCTTCTTCTTCTTCTTCTTCTTTTCTTTTTAGTGCTAAAAAGACATTCTCAACAAACCTTATCAGTTATCACATCTACAACGGTCTGAATGCGAAGAAGATATACGAAAGCCCATTACCCTAAAATTTTCCAAAAACTAGTAAACGGCACCTTTGTATTATCAAATTGACCAATATGACCCTAATTATATTCCACATGATATTTCATGTTCCTCTCCCATCACCCTCTTTTTTTCACGTTCTAGAGAACTGTTCACAAGGTATATACTCTTGATCAAGTCGACTGATCTACCTCTATGGTTCTACCACATGGCTTGGCCAATATAATGTGATTAAGCTTCTGTCGTATCAACATATAATAAGAGAAGTTTTGAGTTTACTAATTCCTACTCTTTAATTTTTGTATTCAATTGAACTTGATTATTTAACGGGATGATTAACCACTAGACGTGGAGCGTCTTAATATTTTATTGATCCTCCACCTTTTAATTTATGAACCCATTTATGGATATGGACCATACTCACAAAGAAACACACCGACCCATCGATCAATTTTCCTCGCTGGAGCTGTGGGGTGCTAGGTTGTCTGAACTCTCTCTGCATTGAAGGTTGAAAGGACATAAACCTTGGGATGACAACATTAAAATTAACTGGTATAGAATATAGGTTTATATAACCTCTCCTACTAGTATAACAAATAATGACTACAGATGTGGCCGTGGCTTATATTAATGCTGGACTTGTGAGTTGGTGTAATTTAAATGGGTTATGGGTAAAACATCTCTAAAAACGAGGGGGCCCAATCTACACTACACCTCCCAGCCGTTAAGAAATGGGTGGGTCCGGGTCTGATTAGATTGGGCCCTTCGTTTGGAGTGATCTACGGTCTTGTGATTGTGGATCTTAAAGAAACATTTTGGGTTGCGTCAGGGGAGAGTTTGGTTTTGTACTATGGCTCGAGTTTGCTGGAGAATGTTTCATAAGGATGACACACTGGTGCTTGATTGATGGGTTGAACATATCTTCTATTTGTCTTACTGAGAAGTATTATAAAAGATTAATCTTTGCCACCCAACTAATTAGGTATGGTTTGATAACTAATTAATTTATTTTTTGGTTGATTGTTATTTAGTTTAATTAGAGACCCATAAAACATATAGACATGCACATAATAACAATGAATTGGATGTTATCATCCTCCAAATCATATCTCTTGAAAGGATGTTTTCTATATTTTTGTGATTAATTTTGCTCACCACCTAACCACCGGGCCATTTTGGCTGGACCCTTTCTTAGTGTCATTATATTATAGTTCCAAAATGCCCTAAATCTTGGTCTCAAGATAAAACATTTTTCAAGGGTATTGAGGTAATCTCATCTCTTTTTCCTTTTCATTTGGTAGGGGGTATTAAGATGAGACGGGATCTCTTGAAAGCAAAAACTCTATAAATACTCTGAAAGCACAGTTGTCTAAATGCCCCACATTGAAAATATCTCTCCATGAATTATAATTGATATTCTTGATATGCTGTTGGATGCTGTATTTTCAGAGTTCTTGCTTTTATGAGATCGGGCTATATTAAGACACCTTAAATCTTCAAAATTAATGCTTATGCTAGTGCTAGTCTAGCACTTAGAGATGATAATTTTTTTTCATTTTTCTGATACTTGTGGGAACCTGTCTCATAGGAATGATTTTCTCCTGTGAGATGGGGATGGATAATTTTTCATCCCCATTCATTGGTGAAGACGGAACAATAGTGCCCTGTGGGAATCTCTACTTATATGTGTGCATTTGTGTATTAATATTTTTAAACATATGATTAAATATATTTGCATCTTTAAAAAATTAAGGGGAATGAGAATTCCTATAAGAATGAGGGATGGGATCCCATCCCTATGAAGATGGGGGCGAGGATAACCTTGTGCCAGCCGGGACAGGGTTGGGGCTCCCCGTCCCCACCCGGTTGCCTGTTGCCACTCCTACTATCAGTCTCCACCCGGCCCGGGTTTTGTTTATCCGTCTTCACTATTTCAAGTCCCAGTTGGTTGGCCTATATGCATTTGTGGGTTGGTTTTACTTGAAGTTGGTGATCGATAGCCAACTACCCTGCTATCTGGTAGCTATTTGCTTGGTAACTAAAAAACAAAAACAAAAGAATGATAGGGGAGACATTTGTCATTTTCACCTAAAGTAGAGACATACAAGTAATTTGAGCTTTTCTAATTTCTATTCTCCGTCTCTCACATCACTATTACTCCTTAATCTTTCCCTTCTTAATAAAGCTCTCCATTGTGCAAAGTAAGAACTCTCTTCCTTTTCAGGAAACAGATGGAATAATGTGCTGGACGCGTGGCAAATTCGGCTATGCCGAGGAATTTCAATCGTCTTGGGAACCATAAAACCGACGATCAGGATTCATTCTAACAGTCAACGTCTATATCTGCCACGTAAGCAGCCGAGAAAAAAGCATGGACCAGTACCGCCGCATTGGATGGGAGGAAGTAATGACCAGTGAAGCAGTAATCCACCCTTTCCATGAAGCGACTTCCGATTGGACGCACTTAAACCGAACCTGTCCCGGTTTAACTTACCCTTGGTTTGACTGTCAACCCTAGGTGGTGCTGAGCTGGCGTGAAATAATGCTTTCTTTGTAGCAGCAGGCGGTTACGACAAAACTCTAGCTACGTGGCAGAACGTTATTGATCCAGAAGCCCGGGAACTAAGGTCGTAGATAGAGGCGATTAGAGAGTTAGGCAACCTGTTTGTGTTTGGGGCAATTATGAAGATGGTCCGCGAGTCTGAATTCTGGAATGCATTATGACTTGCGAAATTCTTCTACCTTTTTTAAACTAAAATCTATACATTTATGAATGACTGATTTGAATAATATTTTCATGGAAGGCCTAACTCAGAAGTAAGTCGGTTCATTCTACGTGGTTTACAGTTCTCCACATTCTTTTTGTCAATTTACGAGGGAGAAAGAGTCTTGCTTTGCAAATTGAATTACTTGACAATTTGACAAATACTAGTGTTAGGTGTAACTGTGATTTGTGTATGAAGTCAGAAGGAATATAATTCAAAACCCCCACTGCTCACGTGGTCCTGAGTCCAACTGTTTAATCAGAAACAGGAAAAGGAAGAAGAACAAAGTGGAATTTGGATAATGGAAGCAATTTATTGATATTTTTTCGTTTTCAAATTTATGTTCAAAAGGTGAAAGAAATGCCAAAAGGAAAAAAAGAAAAGAAAAAGGAGAATGGAAGGGAGAGGGCTTTATATCTTCTTCACCAAAAGACAAAAAGCCTTATTATCATGTAACAAAATATCTATGGAAGATAATAATGCCTCTATGTGAATGTTCATTAAATATTGCTCAGAGTACAAGTTACAAGTTGATGAAGGGTATAAAAAGTTTAACTACATATAAAAAGAAAATATTCATAATTTAACAATGGATATGGCACTAAATAGAATATGAAACGGCTAAATAAGATTTATAGTTAATTAAGATAGGGCTTAGATGATGATTTGATTTCTAAGACTTTATTAACAGTTTAATATAATTCTCAAGCTGGATCTTAGTTTTTTTTTTTTTTTTTGATGGACATGTCAAGCTCGGGGTTGCAACCAACCAATGTGTGACATAGGATTTTGTATAATATATGAAGTGGTAGATCCTGGTTGGTCTATTTTATAACAACCAAGGATTCTACATCTAAGTTTTCGTTTAAGAGCTAGTCATCTATTCATATGATGATTGTTTTGATTTTTTTATCATTATTTATTTATTTTCGAGGTGTGTATGGCACAAGGAAGAGTTGACTAATTGCCCATTGATCTACACCATCCAATTTGCAGTTTTACTTTTTATTGTTATATTAGTCAACAAAAATGTGCGGGACCCTATTCATGTAGATTGCCTTGTTCTATTATAATTCGATTAATGTGACCACATAATTAGATAATTTGGTCCATGAGAGAGTCCAACAATTGGGTGGTTCAGATCAAACGGTATGTCATCAATCATTTGATGTAAGGTGGAGTGAATTAATTCCCAATTTCCCATCTTCGGATGTCGCATCATACGGAACGGGAAATCCTTTTCACACTTAGGCGTTTCACATGTATATCCACCGTGAATTGGGAACATCTCCCGTGAAAAATAACTTACAAGTACGCGAGACGCTCCCATTGCATGGTAGGATGAAGGACAAATCTGGTCTCGCATCACACATGTTATATACACATCTTCCGGACAGTGTGAACCAGTAGGTACCATGGTTAAGCTATTTTGTTACCCAAAAGATCTACAACCTTGTTAGTTTGTCCTCTCCCAGGATTTTGTATTAATTCTAAATTATCTGAAACTAGGTTTCTCACAGAAAACTACAAATAGGAAAGATGAATAGATGGGTTTGGGTAGCTTGAATATAACAACCAATTAATACTGCCAAAACAACAGCTAGCTGAAATAACTGCCCTTTTTGTTGAGTCACATGAAGTTTGTTTGGGTTTCTATTTATTCACACAATATACATTTTTTTGTGCATGATAATACTTGAATGAGAATTGTGATTATTATTGTTCATTTCTTTTCCAT